TTTGACATCACCAGCTACCGTCCAATATCCCTCACCTGTACACTCTGTAAATTGCTTGAAAAAATTACTAATAGACGCCTAGTTTGATATCTAGAAACGACACATTAACTTATCGCCCAACAGTACGGCTTCCATCGCAAACATTCTACTCAAAATGTCCTAGCCACTCTCCATACCAACATAAGTGAATTGATTAGAAAAAATCAACACACCATCCTTGTCGCCCTAGACTTAGAAAAAGCATACGACATAGTCTGGAAAAACAGAGTTATCGATATTATGTCCAACTGGTCCATAGATGGCAACATGCTAAAATTTTTACATAACTTTCTTACCGACCGAACAATTCAAGTCAAAGTTGAAAACACTCTATCTGAACATACGACAATAGAAAACAGACTCCCACAAGGATCGGTAATCAGTGTTACATTATTTCTAGTTGCCATTGATGATATTTTTAACAACATACAAAAGCCTATTAAGTACACATTAATCGTCGACGATTTTGTAACGTGTGTACTTGAATAATAATAAAAGATCAAAATAATAATACCCGATGTAACAAATAATAATAATAATGGACTGTATTGAAAATAACCAATTAATACATAAATATACAAAATTCAATGAATAAAATAAAATACGTTTTTCTTTTCTTAACAAATAATAATAAGGGATGTAGGCGCCCACCTACTATATAATATGAATAATTATGTTGATGGTAATATTTAAAAATGGTAAAAATCTTTAAATACAAATGGTGGATAACACCTATTTTACACACATAATATATATTTATATAATATCGCGTATCACGTTAGTGATCCGCGTTACCGTGCGCGTCGTCTTGCGGTTGGTCTTGGGTGGAGCTGCAGTTTCCCTGAACACCGTCGATCCGTTTGATGGTCAACGACGAAACGGCCGCGTAACAATCCGCAATAAAACATGTACCACCGATGGCACAACTTTGCGCGAATCGCGGCGTAATTTAACCGTCCAAAACAGCACGCGAACGCAACAACGACAAAAAAAGGAAGGTAAAAACCAAAAACAATTGCAATGGCGGCTGATGCATTCACGTGACGAGCACACGACGACAACAGCCCACGCGAGACGGCGCAATGGGCACTGTAACGAACGGCGCAAGCGCACCAGTAACCGGATCAAATTTTTTAATTAAGTGCCAATTAGCTGGCGCGCTCTAGCGGTATCTGGCCCGAACAGATTTAATATTAAATATTATTTAATTAATAATATTACTTAATGTCGATGCCACTACAATAAATTTTATTGTAGTGGCATCGACATTAAGTCCACTGTAGCTCTCTTACAAAACGCTATCAATTCACTTACACAATGGACTTCATTTTCTGGTTTCAAATTCTCACCTCATAAAACTCAAAGTCGTCAAACGATGCGGTGAAGATCGAATCCAAGCAAGGGCTGTGGTAGAGTCAGTCCATGCAGTTAGGTTATCGATATGTAGACAATCTTCAAACGTCGAGACTGTATAACGAAGCAGTTGTGCTGCAAGAACAGCTCCACATAATTCCAAACGGGGAATGGTAACATGTTTCAGAGGGGCGACTCTAGTTTTGCCTGTAACAAGATGACAACGTACTGAAGTAACAGTTTCAACACGGAGATATACGGAGGCAGCGTATCCCTTTTGAGAACTGTCTGAAAAGGCATGCAACTGAACTGAGATAGCACAATCTTCAGTAATGCGACGAGGTATAACAAGCGTGTTGACTAAATGAAGTTCCGACTGATACCTTTTCCATTGAGTGGAAAGATCGGATGGTAAGGGGGCGTCCCAACTTATTCCAGAAATCCACAAACACTGCATAAAGTGCTTGATCCAGAATGTGGTTGGCGAGAGTAACCCTAATGGGTCAAACGTTCGTGCAAGATCCGACAACACTGATCTTTTGGTAGGATTTTTTGACGAGGGTTGTGTGTGAAATGAAAAAATGTCTGCTGATGGATCCCATTTCAATCCTAAACAATTTAACTCAGTATGATCAGCTGAATTGAACAACAACGATGGAGACATGGCGCGCGCTTCACATGGAACTGCTTGAATGATGTTTGTGTTGTTGCTAGCCCACTTTCGTAATTCAAACTTAGCAAGTCCACATAAGTTGATTAATTGGCTTTGGCATTCAAAAGCAGTTTCTTCCGTATTTGCACCAGTAATGATATCATCAACAAAGGTGTCGTTTAATAGTATTTTAGCAGCTAATGGAAATTTCGGACCATCCACCGTGGCTAACTCTCGAACAGTCCGAAGAGCTTGGTATGGAGCTGCAGATGTACCATAATTGACTGTACATAATCTGTATTCCTCAATAGGCGAATCTTCGATGAATCGTCAAAGAATCCTGAGATAATTTCGATCAAGAGGATTCATGATAATTTGACGGTACATCTGTTTTATGTCGGCCATAAACAAATATTTCCATAATCGAGCGCGTAATAGAACGACTTGGATGTCAGGTTGTAATTTGGGACCTGTATACAAAAAATCATTGAGAGATGATCCCCTAGTTGTTCGTGCAGAAGCGTTAAAAACAACACGCAATTTTGTAGTTAGGCTATCTGGCCGAAACACACAATGATGAGGAATATAATAATTATATGGAAGATCTTTTTCTTCAGGAATGAGTTCCATGTGGTTATTTGATACATAATCGTGCATAAACTCAACATATTGTTGGCGTAGATTTTGATCTCGACTAAGCCTGATCTCCAAAGATCTATATCTGTGAAGAGCCATGGTTCTTGAATCGCCTAATAAGGGGCGTGATGACTTGAAGGGAAGTTTAACCATGAACCGTCCTGATGCAAGGCGAGTTGTCGTCTGTTGATAAAACTTCTCTGCAATAGAATCCTCTTCACTGAGGTGATGAATGGCTTGCAATTCTTCAAGTTCCCAAAATTTCTTTATAGTATTGTCGAGGTGTTCAAATACAGATATGCAGAATGAATTAAGTGAACCAGAGGAAGAGGATTGAATTGGTCCGACTAATACCCAGCCAAAGATTGTTTCCATTGCCATAGGTTCGCCATCTTTCCCTTTGAGTTGACCAGTTAGAACGAGAGATGGGAACATATCAGCACCTAAGAGCAAGTCAATGTCTCCAGGAAGATGGTATGACGGATCTGCCAATGGAAGATTCTTAACATGAGTCCATGTTCCGTGAGTGATTGGAACCTGGGGCGTAAGACCAGTAATTTTTGGAACAATTAATGTGTCTACAGACACAGACGGTGATAATTTATTACAGGGGAGTATACTTATAGTGGCTTTCCCTTTGACTAGGGTAGTGGTTGTACTGGCAAAGGTTGTAACGTTAACGGTTGAATGAAATCGACGTAGCATTAACAAGGACGCAGCCTTTTCAGTTATAAAGCTCGCTTGGGAGCCACTATCCAACAGCGCACGTAAAGAATGCCGATGACCATCAGCGGCGATCACATCAAGCATTGCAGTTGATAATAATATAGCGCGTTTGGGTACTCCTTTTACTATCATGGATACGGCATTCGAAGCATCAGCAGGAATTACATTAGACGGCATTTGTTGCTGTGAGTGTGATCCAGAAGTTGAATTAAAATGTAATAACGAGTGATGGGATCGGTTACAAACTTGACATTTGTACTTAGATGGACATGCGGCTGATGTATGCCCGGCTCCTAGACAATTAGTACAAAGTTTGTGCGATTTCGCGAGCTGGAACCGTTCATTAGGTGTTTTTTCATTGAATCGTGAACATTTCCGAATTGAATGTGCCTGGTTGCATATTGGACAGTTCACACTTGGTGATTGACTGGTGGTAGCTGTAAGTATTTTTTGAATTGAGCCAGTACGAGGTTTTTCTTGACTTCGAGGCAATTTTGCTATGTGTGTAGTCGGAATCGAGGTTATAAATACTTCTGCAGAACGCATGTGCTGACGTAAGAAATCGATAAATTCTGGTAGACTCGGAGAGTGTTTGTCTCCCACTAATAACTCCCATCGAGATCGTAACTCATAGTCCAGATGTTGTTCGAAGATGTATAACAACAGTGGACTCCATGATCTAGTTACGAAATCTAAATTGTCTAATGCTGCAGTATGTTCCGTAATGGAATTAAGCAGGGTTTTGATAGATTGTGAGTCTGTGGATTTTACGACATACTTCTTTAGAAGAGATTGAAAATGAATGCGAGCCAGATCACGTTTGTTTCCATAGCGAGACTTTAGAATTTTCCAGGCACTCAAGTAGTTTGCTGCTGTCAATGGTAAATGAGCAACCAGTGATAAGGCTTCACCTTGAAGAGAAGTTTTCAGATATTCAAATTTTTCAACATTAAGTAGATCTGGAGCATGTGATAATATTGAATGAAATAAGTCCTCAAAGCCTTGCCACTCTGTAATTATTCCAGAAAATGTGGGAAATTTGCGTTTTGGTAACTGGAAACATGACAAATTTCCCAGCGTACCAGATTGTTGAGCCGTGCTGGAAGCAAAAGATTGAGACATCACTTGGTCTGGTGACAATGGAAATTGATGAATGACAGCAAACGCAGCTAGTTCATAAAATAGATCTTCAAAGGAACTAATTAATGAACTACTACACTTATTATCGGTAACATCAATAGGTGCAGTAGATTGTCCGACGGCCGTTTCCATTATTTGAATGTCCTCATTAACGCAACGACGAATCTCCTTTAGTTCAGAGAGCATCTGCTTGATTTTTGCCTGTTTTCCGATGTTTGTCCGGTCATTGTTGTAATCACCGGAAGCTTTCACAAATGAAGTGACTCGGTTAATCGCACGAATCACACGCCCTTTTGCATCTGTGTAATGAATTGATTGGGGCATAGCCATATTGAAGTTTGAGAGTTTTACAAGACTTGTGCGGAACACTTAATTAACAAGACGAAAAAGAGAAAGAAAAAAACACGAAGAAGTCACGGTTTGTCGGTTAAATCCGGCTCGAAGGACCATACAATGTTCGGGCCGAAACGACGATCGAAGGACCAGTCACGGTAGTGACATTAATGTTTGGAAATGAAAAAAAATAATTTTTAATTACCCATAGTGGCACAATAAATATATAATAAAAAGAATGATATAATTTTGATTTGCCTGGTTGGCACAACAAATATAATAATTTATACTAAAACTATCAACAATAAATAAATAAATAATAATATATATAAAAACTCACAATTTTGTGGAGCACCGCTGGCCAGCTGCTGCCTGAGCTAAATAAAATAATAATAATAATCCAAAAAAAAATAAACAATATAAGACAATATTTAAATATTGGCTATTAGAGCCGATTAACAATAAATAATAGTAATAAATTTATAATCAAAAGAGATGGCTATTTAAGCCTTACAGCAATAATTAAGTTTACAAAAGAGAGCCGCAACGGCATGAGAATAAAAATAACAATTTAACAAGTATTAACCGCAATGGCGTAATATAGAGATATTTTAGTAATTAATAGCCGCAATGGCGTAAAACAATATATTATAATTGCACAATTAATAAATACAAATTTAAGTAGTTCGCACAATGCGAGACTAAAAGGAAAAACTATAAAAAATCACAACAAATATTAATATCAAAAAATAAGTATATAAACGAAACAAAATTGTATTTGTGCAAAAACGACGATGATTAAAATACAAAAAAAAAAACAGTTGCCTCAATGGCTGACGACGAACGAACGAGAAAACGTGGACGAACGAATATGCCGGCAGTGATATCACGACCGACACATAACAAAAAAATACAAAAATAACGTGATTACAATAATTATCAAACGAAGAAAACGAAAACAAAGATACGGATGCACGGTAAATGGTGCATCGCGTAACATATACATCATTTTCATATAATTATAATAATAATAATTAAGTGTGCGCGGCCTTATCGCGTACAGCGCAAACAATCGTTGTGTCTTGATACAAGAATATTTTCATATTTACTTAAAAAATTAAGTAATACTCGTATACCTGAGTAAAATGGATTTAGTAAATACAGACGTAGGAAATAACGACGATCAGAAGAGGAATAGAAAGACCAAAAGTACTCATCTGTACTAAAGAAATATAATAAAATCTGCCAAATTAACTGGTTCATCTTATGTGAATCATAGAAAAAAGCAAGTTCCTGCACTGATTGTTGGTGAACCTTGTCGGTAAGCAATTTTTTATCGTTGTTTATATTATTGTAATGAAAATTTTTCGATTATTTTATTTTTTTGACTTCGTTCGATTTAAAATATTTCAAAATTTAAACTTATTGCTATAACGTTTTTTACATTTTTCAGCTGCAGAAATAAATGCTTTGAAAAATATGGATTTGAAACTATACAAGCTGTGTTTGATTTCTTTCATAACTTTGAACATTTTCAAACTAAAGATGAACAAGATCAATATTTACAAGGACTTATTGATGTTGTTGCAGTGAAAAGACGACGTAAATCCACTAAAGATAAATTAAATGATGGAGAGGATCCAAAACGAGACTATTCGTTTAACTATCATGTAATGTTTGTTTCAGCGAGAAAAGGTATGTCAACAAGCATTTATTTCTATTTTTGCTCTCTCTTGCAAAAAAATTCGAAGATTAAGGGACTTAAAAGTAAATAATGAAATTGTGAAGGACAAAAGGGGCCGGCATACCAGTTACACTCTTCCTGATAATTTAAAACACAAAATATGTGAACATATTTCTTCTTTTCCGGTAAATATTAGCCATTACTCAGGAAAAGAAGTTAAGTATCTAGCATCCGAGCTTAATTATAGAAAAATGTTTAATCTTTTTAAAAATAAAAATCCTGAGATCACTAAAACTTGTTATACTACCTATTGGCAATACTTCAGACAAGAGTTCCCTGATTTACGCTTTGGTCAACCACAGATCGATACATGTTGTACATGTGAGTCACTAAATGTTAAAATTAAATCACCTCATCTCAATGATGCAGCCAAACGTATCGCAGTTGCGGAAATCATGGTACACAAAAGAAAGGCTAAAAAGTATTATAAGTGTATAAAAAAAGAAGTTGAAGATAAGCAGAATAATGTTAATGAAAATGTGCTTGCTATTACTATGGATTATATGATGAATGTTCTGTTACCTAAGATTCCTGTGCAAGAACTTTTTTATCTACATTAATTGACTGGTTATGTTTTTTGTTCACAAAACATAAAACAGAACAAATCAACAATATTTATTTATCATGAAGGACAGGCAAAAAGGGGACCTGACGAGGTTTGTTCTTTTTTAAAACAATATATTGACAGTGTACCTATGACGTATGATGAACTCCACGTTTACGCAGACAACTGTGGAGGACAAAACAAGAATCATGCAGTGTCGCGGTTTTTTTTGGCTTTGACCGACACAGGTCGTTTCAAGAAAGTAAAGCAATTTTTCCCTGTAGTGGGTCATAGCTATTCATCATGTGATAGAGATTTTGCGATAATAAAAAGGTCTTTAAGAAAATGCAATCGATTGTACACCAATAGAGAGCTTACGGAACTAATCATCAAAAGTAGTGTGGATCAAAAGTTCACAGTGGTAGAGGTAGATGAGAAAATGATTTTAGATTTCCAATCATGGTGGGGGAAGTACTACAAAAGAAGTCCTATTTCACAAGAGACTAAAAGAAAACCAAAACAACAACAGACTAGTTTTGGAATAAGCTCGTATTACCATTTCGAGTATGACACAGCTGCCAAAGGTGTTTGTAAAGCAATGTCTTGTATCAACGGTCTCAAAGTAAACACATTCTGCTTGGCCAATTCAACTCAAACTCCAATCCAACTTCCTCAAAACCTACTTTACACAGATATTGGAGTCCCAATGAATCCAGCTAAACTTGAAGACATTCAGAAGACATTGGACTATATACCAGATGAACATAAAGACTATTATCTCGACATTATAAGTAAAAGTATCGTTACTAGCTATATTGACAATAATGTGTAATTTTTTTAATGCAAAATAAACCAAAACTAAAATTACTTGAATTATTTATATACTATTTTTCTGATTTTTGTTAAAAGGGCACTTGTGAAGCACTTTTGAACTTTTATGAACTTGAATTCAATATTTTTACAGTATCGAAATTTGGTATAGATATTGAGCACCATGAAATAACGCACATACATTTTTTTATTTTTACATTATCACAATATTTTGGAATTTATGTAGTTTCTTATTATTTCCCAAAATTTTATCTGTTGAAACATGTGCCCTTTTAACAAAAAGCGATTCATCTAGCGTGAGTCACCGTTGGATGAACTTCGGGAGTATGAATTAAATACGGTAACTTATGGACTAAAATGTGCCCCATTTCTGGCCTTGCGTGCCCTCAAGGAAATAGCTGTGTTAGAAGTTGATGACGCAACTGAAATCAGTAAGGTCTTGCTAACTCAGACGTACATCAATGACATCTATATTGGAGCCGAAAAGGTTGCAGAGTTGCTCCGCCTCCAAACTACGCTCATCGAAACTCTCAAACCATTCGGTCTAGAGTTGAAGAAATGGACTATTAACTCCCCGGAGATACTTGAAGCTATTCCAGCGGATCATCGTACTGCGGGAGGAGTTATTTTTGGAGATACTGAAAGTGTTCCAGTGCTTGGTATGACTTGGTTACCGGATAAGGATTTCTTCCGGTTTGTTGCCGTTACTATGAAAACAGTAGCTACTAAAAGAGATGTTTTATTGACAGCACATGTTTTCGACCCAATAGGGCTACTTACACACGTAATTTTCCTAGCTAGATATTTAATGCAAGGTCTTTGGCGTGCTAAGGTGTCGTGGTATGATCTTCTTCCCGGAAAAATTAACGTTGAATGGTTACGTTTTATGTCGGAGATTCCGAAGTTATCGGACATCCTTATTCTGCGATTTATTGGTATTTGTTCGAATTGCCAATATTACCTATGTAAGTTTTGTGATGCATCTGAGAAGGGATATTCTGCCGTGGTCTATTTACATGTGACTACAACAGGTGATGAAATCCATACGTTTCTGTTAAGGACTAAAAGAAAATTTGCGCCTTAGAAACCCATCACCATTCCTCGGTTGGATTTGTGCGGTGCGAGCCTATTATAGGCTTCGATGGAACGGATCAGATGATTATTGGAAAAGCAAATGGTTTTATCCGGAGTTGTTCTAAAGTGGATTCGTAAAGTTTCTGTGCCACGTGCGTTCGAATGGATGCTCATAATCCTCAACCAGTGATGGCAGATTTACCTGTTTCTCGCGTTCAACCAAGTAGACCATTTTCTAAGGTTGAAATAGATTATGCGGGACCCTTGAAAATTCGTGAGATGGGATTAAGAAAGTCTCGTGAGCTGAAGGTTTATATCGCTGTTTTCGTGTGTATGAGTATGAAAGCTGTTCATTTGGAACTCGTCAGTAATTTGTCTACCGACGCGTTTTTGGCAGCTTTAGATCGATTTATGTCACAACGAGGACTCCCTTCTGACATTTTCTCGGATTTTGTGGGTACGTCCAAGGAGTTGTATAAGTTGGTACACCTCCTGAAAAGTCAAGAATTACTAGCAAAAGCGAAGGCATGCGATTGGCATTTTAATCCACCTAGCGCTCCTCACTTTGGAGGATTTTGGGAGGCTGCCATGCGTTCAACAAAGCTGTTGCTGAGTCGTACTATAGGTGCCCACCTTGTAACCATCGAAGAAATTTCAACTTTTGTGTGTCGTGTAGAAGCGGTACTGAACTCAAGACCCCTGTTTGAGTTATCTTCAGATCCTCATGATCTGGAATGTTTGATTCCAGGTCACTTCTTATTGGGTCGATCGTTGTTGACAGTTCCCGAACAAGAAGTCCTATCTGATCGGTTGGATCTTAGAAAGCGCTGGAAATGTCTTCAGTCTTTTTGGAAGCGTTGGTCTTCCGAGTATTCAATCCGGCTACAAACTCGAAATCGTTGGACTGCCCAGACCGATAATGTTGTTGTCGATCAGATGGTAGTGCTCAAAGATAATACAGCACCTCCTTTATTATGGCGTTTGGGTCGTGTCATTGAAGTACTCCCTGGGTCCGACGGGGAAGTATGAATTATAAAGGTACGGACAAATCAAGGAGTCTTGATACACCCGGTGGTGAAGTTCTTGCAATTACCGTCCGAATGAAACCTGATGCCACTGGATTTGTTTATTAATTAATTTTTTTTTTTACTATTATTTTTATTTTAAGTCCACATGTTTATATTTAATGTAAAATGCTATCGTGAAATCCCAAATATATGTAAGGATTTCAGTTGGATATTAACAAGATTAGTTTAATACTATTCACTACTAGAAGTTGGTTAACCTTTCAGCAGTTGTCTCCGGACGAGGTAATATATACGGTAACTAGAGTAGTCTGATTTATTGTTTACTTTTGTGTTTATTTTTTATTGTATTGCTTATTTTAATTGTAAATATCTTTCTGATATCGTATGCTGATAGTGTAAGATCTATATTTTATTTGTTATTTCATACACTGTAACTTGTAAAGCAGCTTACCAATAATATTCGTAAGGCCATTATGCGTTCCGTCCAGTTGGGATACATTATTTCAGACCAAAGTCTCCCAATGGGGAGTATATTCACGCAACTGGCCATGTTAATAAGTCCGGAGTAGCAATTGCTAGTGCCGTTTTGAGAGCTGGAAATTTGTTTCCAGACGTACGCGGTTTTTTACATTTGGCAACACTGAAAAATGTCGTTAGGACGCTGTCCGCAACAAAACCGGGCGGTTTTTTTTGTTAGATTTTTGCGGTCGGCGCATGCAGATTGTTTTTGTACCATCTTCTTGGGTCTACCGAATAAATTAAATATATTTTTTTCAATATCATTCTTTTTTTGGATTGCTCACCCTCTTGCCGTCGTTGCGGTTTGCTGTCGTTCCGGCATATTTGTTAACGATCGTTTTCGTCCTTTTTGTCATCGCAAGTTGCGCGCTCGAATATTCGCCGTTGTTCTGGCCTGGGTGTGTTGCGGTCATCACCACTATGTTTCGTAGTTGCATGTTGTGCGCTCGAATATTTGCCGTCATTCTGGCCACGTTGTGTTACGATCGTCACCGTTTGTTCCGTCGTCGCAAATTGTGCGTGCGAATTCCCGCCATCGTTCCAGCTAGACTATACCACCGTCATCAACATCTACCTGAGTCTTTTTATATTAATTGATTATTAAGAGGACGCGACACGTAAAGTGAAACGTATACAACGGCCGAGAGAACGCGCTGTTCAGTGTTTTTGCAATCCACAAGCACGCGGCGTTAAGTCGCGCCAACTACTCGCCGTCGGCGGCCGGCCGACGAGTGCTCATTCCGGTCGTTCGGGAATGCCGTTTTATTATTCTATAATAATTTGTCCTAGACGTTTCACGTCAATGTACAATATTGATATACGCAAAAGCAGCCGTAATATTTTAAATACCCACTCGTATCCATGAAATAACGGTTATAATGTAAGCCACTGCTTACCTAAATATATATAACAATATATAGATCGTAGTGTTAACTTCAGAAAGAATGCCACTAATTCGAGGTAATAATTTCAACAAGATATACGAATGCATAAAACTCTTTAATAATACAATTACACAACTAGCGGAGCAACGCTCGCGTCGCGC